TATATTTTCTTTATATTTTAAAATCTAGCAGTTACATGCTTAAAAAATAAAAATTATAAATATATATATAAAATCTATTAATTATAATTGTATATTTGTGTGATAACTCGCGCGTGTGTTCAATAATAAAATAGTTGCTAAAAATTGATCTTTTTGGTGCTCAGTGTCTATATGCCTACGGATGTGGTTTGCATCTTACCACAGTTTACTTATTGCCTTGGAATCATAAGTGCCATTATAGATACTTGTGACGTTGAGGATGCTTTTTGTGATAGGTGATTTTAATGCTCACTCTCACGAACTTATTCATAATGAACTTAGTAATTTCTGTGACGAAAATTATTGCAATTGTATTGACATTGATAAATTAGGATTGACATCAGACAGTTATTCATTCATTAGTGACACGCATGGGACAACTCGTTGGTTGGACCATTGCCCAGTAACGAAATCGGCATCTTACTCCGTGGATAATGTTTATATTAATTATAACGTATTAGCTTCAGTACCCTTAGCACGAACCATTATCGAATCCGAATAGTTCGAAATGTCATGAAACTTGATCAGCAGCGCCATAGCGGATGTAACGAGAACTGAAAATCTGTACACATTTGATTTCTCGTTACGTCTGTTTTGGAGCCGCTCGTATCTGGTTATGGAACTGCTGCTGCTGAGAGCGTGCTCCATGCTGAGATTAGTGACGTTAGAATAGTTTTTTTTGGCGAAAGATGTTACCAAAACTTTGAGAAATACAAACTACGAGAAAAACAAATATGAGAGCCATACATAATAGTTATAAAACATGGCCAGTACTCGTGGCAGATGTAGTCCTGCATACTGAAGATGCTCAATGCTGAAACCATTGTGTCCTGGAGATTTGCCTCGTAACATGGCCTTAATAGATGATGAATTAATAGATGAACATGGCCTTAATTGCAATTACGATCGCTAATGAGATAGGCCTATAATCAAACACTAATCTGGCGAAGCTACTGATAAAAACAACTATAGGCCTATCTCATTAGCGATCGTAATTGCAAAGGTATTTGATGGCATGCTAAATATGCACATTCATAAATATGTTACACCCCGTGACGTGACAATCATTATGGTTTCAGGCCTAAATTGTCAACAGTGTGTATAGTTTATAAATACGTGAAAGTGGGTCTGTTCTTTAGACAGTAAGCAGGTGATTTTTCAAAAATTTATAAATGTAGTTTTCATTATTTTTGAAAATAAAGAGCCTTACAGTAAAATTTTGCAATCATGAATATTAAGGGTACTTTTACTCCATCCACGGTCTTTTTTCCACCCAGTATATACACCTACTTAGACTTACTACACACAAAATTGAACATACACAAAACAAAAGGTAATCCTAAAACAAAGAAACATTACAAAAAACTACCTAAACTCATAGTGCTCATTGCATTTGTACAGCTATTGTACTTAAGTTTCGGCAACGGTTTAATGAAGATGTCGGCGACAATGTCTTGTGTGGGTCTGTACTTATTTGGAGCTGTAAGTTGTGCATTGTAAGTGAGTCTCTGATGAAATGGTATTTAATGTCGATATGTTTAGTGCATGCGTGGTAAGTATTATTGTGTGGTTATTTTATGGAGCTTTGATTGTCAGTCAGTGTGTATGATGAAGGGATGAGTACCGATGATTTTATGACTAAACTGTAGGACAAGATATTTCTAAACTCGGCATTCCTAAACTATGTGTTAAATCAGTTTTTTTATTCTCTTTTTTTATGCTAAATAGGCAATGCGTTTGACCACAATCTCACCTGATGGAAAGCGATGATGAGGCCTAGGATGGTACACGCCTGCCTAGAAGAAAGGTATAAGGTTTCCCGCCGTAGATTTGCAAAACCGATGGCGTAGCTTTTCGACATTTACAAGTGCTTGTAACTGCCTATACTGAGTAATCTGTGAATATTGACATTTGAATTTTGATGGTGAAAATTTACTTATCAGAGTCTGACGCATATTGCCTCTTTGCAAGCATCCACCAGAGCCATGTATTCGGCTTCTGTAGTGAAAGCACGATTGTTCGCTGCTTGCAAGCTTACCATGATATAGGGGTGCCGCTCTTAGGTGGGAATACGAAACCAGTGTTTGAATATCGGTTCACAAGATTATTTTTACAGTCGGCATCAATTCAATAGGATACATTGGCCTGATGGTTTGAAGTGAATTGTAATAGGTACGACACAGAGTGAGCTATATAGGATCTCGTACATATAGCAATGTAAATGAATGAGCCGATAAGTTCTTGATAAGGCACCTTAATTGTTTCATCTTCTTTCTTGGAAGTGTTACTATTAGGCCAGGTTCTAGTGGAATTGTGACTGATATTACGTCGGTCATGCCAAACCTATTAGTTTCTCCATGTACTCAATTTGGTGGAGAGTTATGCCATTTTACTTCCTAACTATCCAAAAAACTATCTCATATAACGCATATTTTTAAAACTAGCCTACGAAAACTAAAGCAGATACCCAACAAATAAAGTATACATTATTTATAATGAATAAAGTAGAACACGTTCACAACAAATAGCTAGCCCCAAAATACTTACCTCACCTATTAGATAGGCATTCACACAACTCATAAACATACTAAAATACTTAAACTTCATCGCAGGGAGGAAAATCTACGTATTTGTACCACAATGAACAAAAAGTTTGCCCGCTCCGGCATTCGAACCCGGAACCTGATTTGCAGTTAACATCACTAGCCCAATAGGCCAAGCTCTTGCTTTGCTCGTAATACAAATTACACTTAACATGCAATAACGAAAACTTGAGAAACTTTGTGAATTTTAACTACACTCCAAAATGTATGCAATTTATTATTCCAAAGTCAACATCAGTGCAAAAAACAAAAGCTACTTAATACACGTACCATAGGAACCGTATAATAGTTGTTGCTAATTGATTTAATGGGCTATGCAGACATAGGATTTTTGTCCGTTAAGAACGAAAGTCCCTGAATCGTCAAGAAAATGTTGGCCAAGGACTTGTCGCTTCAATGCACACGATGTGCGACCATTTGCCCCCCAAAAAATTAGAAAACCGCACGGTATTAAAGTAAATATTCTCAGATAACCTTGTGTTGTAATTAACATGAAGTTTAAGCAAAAGATAAGACGATTTAAAAGAGTATACTGGGTCCATTTCTTTAAATCGGATTGATTGCACAACGCTCTCGGTGTCCTCGGTTGTTAGGGGAACTTTTTGTACGCGGTACTTTTAATCCGTTATGTGCGTTACGTGATGGAGATGTAAGCTATCTATTTTGGCAAAACGCGGACAAAAGTCCACGTAACGTCTGCTACCAATAAAGTTTGTTTGCACGTATTTTTGATAACATTAGAACACACCTAACACTTCCATATCTCGACCTGTTATCAATTTCAGTTAAAATCCACCATGGCTGGGCCGGGTCGTTGTGTCCCGGGATGTCTGCATTATTTATTCATTTGTTCGACAAGGTATAAGTAGTATAAACAAATTCACGCGCATGAATACAGCGCACAAGCTTACCTTTTATGTAAATGATATACAAAATGAATGCGCTCCCAAGTGTATACGAAATATCAGCTGGTATCTATTCAGCTATTAATTTTTAAAAGCACGAGGACATGACACGTATTTGTTGATATTCTACATGTTCACCAGAGATAGTATCGTATCGCCCGTGTCGTCACCTGAACGGAAGCGATTCGATTTAGTTAACACAAAAACTACATTAGCCCGCCCGCTTAATTATAATAACCCAAAACAATAGATGATTATGCATATTAATTTCCAAGTCAAACAAATGCTACGGAAGGTTAATTTATTTGTTACGAGTCAGTCATATGCGTATTAAATAAAATAGGTCTACTTTTTGTAGGAAAACCAAATTAGCATTGTATTAATGAAGAGCCATAGATTAAGTTAACACAAAAGATAAATAAATTTAAAAAGGCATTTAAAAAACAAACCTAGTAACATAATCACCAGATCTCCGCCAGCCAGATGTTGCAACGCCAAATAATTCTGTAAATTAATACCTAAATCTTATTTGAAATAAAGTAAATAAATTGTGTATTAATAAACAAACGAATCAGTACAAACATACACGCAGGTAAATCAGAATGGTAAATGACTAACTGTAATATAAATATCTGAAATAGTAAAACCAGCAACGCATTCAGCGATCAAACAATCTTTCAGCCGCTTCCACAAAGCTTAGCATTTTTAAAATGAATCCGGTGAACATCGTAAAATATTCGATAAACAGGGCGGGTATGTTTGCTTTCGTCGAGTTTAACATTGCTATTAAACAGTCGTGAAATGGACAGAAATAATCAGGTCGAGCCGTTACATCGCGTCATTCGTATGATGGCGGCGTCCCCGCTCACTCGATGCCAATTGCCATGCTAGGGGCGCACTCGCATTTTCTTACCGTGACATTTACCTTAATGGTTGATTTACTTAACATTACTTCATTACGGTGCGATGTCGAGATGGTTAGGAATCTTCTTGTAATTATCATGTCAATAGCTGTTTAAAAGCTACAATGAACATTGTGGTGTGTAAAATTCTGGTTTTGGAACTTAGCGAAAGTGCGTAACAGCCGGGAGTCGCGTGCGCAGCGCCCGCGCACCAGACGGTTTCGTTTTTGCGAGACGCGGCGCGCGCCGAGATGCCCTTTCAAAAATTCTCCGATACAATACTGAGAACTAGAACATTTCTTACGTGATGCTGATGCCTGCAACTACTTTTAAACGAAGAGAAATTTAATAAAAAGACCACAAAACAGAACTCTTTCGAGTTTGAAATTGTTGAATATTGATAAAATTGTAGTATAGGCAAGGTTGGATTTATTCATTATTTTACAAGACGTCGTTTACGAATAAGTCGCTCCTTATTTGGTAAGCGACTCTTGTATGTGTTTTTGTAGAAAGAATGAATCTATCTAATGGCACATTAATAGTGATGCGTTTTAATGTTGCGATTCATTTGCGGGTGCCGTCCCCGCGTCGAGCAGCAGCGGCGGCGACGGCGGCGGCGGCGCGGGCGCAGGGACCGCCTCCCGCGGCGTTGCTCCCGATGCACAACTTTTTACGCGCGCATGCTCAGTTCGTGTATTTTTCGCTCTTCTCGATCGGAATTCGTTGAGGGATCGCCGCGGTCGGTGGCAGACGTCTTGTGACATGTCAGCGACGGTACGTGCGCTGCGTACACGGCAATTAACCAGTCATCCGTTCGAATCCTTGGAAAAGCGCACGCTTCTCACACGTTTCAGTAATGATTCGCTTTTTTACACTAAAAACAATTTTAAGTGGTTGGTTCACGACACAAATTATCGTTTTATTATATCCATTCATTAGTAAATCACAAAGAGTCACAATTTTGATGAAAATAAAACAAACTACACACAGCTAATAAGTACCTATGTCAAGAAGAGGTGTATTTATACCTGTAATTTTTAAATGTGGTAACCTGGACATTTTTAATTAAACGTATATTCATTTACGCGGATACGTTTAATAAGAGTCTACTTTTTGTCGCAGAATATTTAATGTAATAATATTATTATGCATATCGCAGGATGGCGTCAACTTCATTTTGCAGAAAACCATGTGGCCTTCACTCATTTAAAAAAGTAACTCATAATTTCGTAAGCCAGAATCATCATTAAGAATAAATTTAATATCTACAGTAATTAAGAAGCATAAACATCTCAAACAGAAAGTTAACAGAATCGTGTTTTGGCATAGAAATATTTAACTTTTCCTTGTTTATTTATGTATTATATTACGTGTCTGGTGCTTCGCCGGCCACTGCCGCAGCACACTTGCTTCGTTCCCTAGGCTTACGCTAAGTTTTGGTCGCATCAAAAACCTAACCTAATCCATCGATCACAAAAATCGGTTACGCTTATCGAAATAAGTAGAATATTTTTTGTCAGAAATAAATATTTCATTCAGGCCGGATAGCGATGGGTGCGAGTTCGAGTCCCGTCTGCTGCCTGGTCCGCGTGGATTTTTTTCTAGTTATGTTTTCTTTAGATTTAGACATCAAGCTGTTACATGCTTAGTAAAATTCTGATATCTTAAATGTATGCCATTGTAAATTTGGTCATATTAAAGATAAACCAAACAATTGTTTTATTTAAAAAAATTGCTACATCAATGAAGATTATGCCAAGTGTGTTATGCCAAAATAATTTCGGAGTAACAAGATTCTGCCAGATAGAGAGAACCCGTTAATTATACCAAAATTATCAGATATTAAACCAATTTTAGGAGACTTACCTATATTTAGTGTCAAAATTTCTCATCTTTGTAATACCGACTCTATCCTGTAAAATAAGATAAAGTGAGTACTCATATTAAGAAATCGACATAACGGATATTCCGACTGCACGGGGGGCGCATTGAGTTTGCAGCTAGTTCAACACAAAAGGAATTATTTTTGACCATAAACGGTGATGAAGAGACAACACTTTAACGTCAGAAATCTTAATGAACACTTACTGCACTTTACTACGAGTCTACGCTCGTTTATATAAAGTGTTTTCCTTAACGGATGATAAAATATACAAGTTAACTATAAACAACCAACTATAGCGTTGTCCCTTTTTGTTGAATACGGTGCAGACTGTTTTGAAGAAATAACTGTTCGATGTCTCTGCGGTGGTGGCATAACAATGACACCTGTTACAATAGAAAATTATGTTGGACAAAAAGCAGATGGCAAACGCGAAACCGTGCGAACAAAAATAAAAGACAACATATTGAGAGAAATCCCAGCGGAAGAGGTGGACCAGTCGCATCTGTGTTGGTAATGCGACGCTGACAAGGATACCTATTTTGGTCGCAGTGCAACCCTCATCATGCATACAAAACCTTTTAAGTCTGTAATGATGATCTAAGAACGCTCCCGTAAGAAAGGAATTTCAAAAGTTAACATGCACTAAAGTAAATGACATTCATTGCCTAGAAACGGTTTATTGAAAAACTCACTTGAATTCATTATTTCTCGATATGCAACTGACTTCAGTGCAGGTCTTACTTACGCCTACTGCCTACAGTCGATTTCTAATGAAATGGTAAACAGCTTAAAGCTCGGGAATGAAATTTATGCCGATGCCTTTGTTAATCAGTGACGATATATTTTTATGGCGAGCAAGACTTTGGTGTGAGCAAAAAAGTGAAGTTTAATTCACTTAAGGTTGAACATTGTAAACAATGAGTATAATATTGAAACAATTATGGAAGGCGAAGTGTCGCCGATGCACTGTGCTACACGTGTTAGTGGGCACTTGCATAATGGATGACCCAGGGTCATACAATACCCCGCCGAAGAAATTTCCGAACTAAATCGGTCTCGAGTTCAAATTATAACTTAGGTACTTACATAAAAATCTAGCACATAATTATGTTCATCTTTAAGACCTTCAAAAATTCAAAATAATATTATGATATTGCTGATTCATTGATATCATATGAACTGAAACCTCGAACGATAGACGCAATATTGATATTAGTAAGTACCAAAAGAAAAAGTTGTTGTATATCATACCGAATCGATGCCGCGTAAATATTAATATTTATCATACAGAAATCGGAATATGACGGAATATTTTTGGTGACTGCATAATGTGACCATATATAATATGAAAAGAAAAAAAAACGGGCCCGCGCATGCCCCGGTGGCAGCCCTCGCCGCAGAAAGAGGAGCCGCTGCCTTTCCATTGAATCAAATTCATATATTTTGAGATTCAGTCGCCAATTTCATCGGTACAGACAGAAGCAAAAGACAGAATATAATATATTATATCTCAAAGATTTAAATAGAACAAATCTGATGAAATGTTGCGTTTTTCGAGCTTTTAATTTACTATGATCGTAAACTCAAATACGAACATGTTTAGTTTATTGTCATTTGCCTATTCTAGGACGAAGAATCTCGCAGCGCCTATTGGACGCAAATTTACTTATGTCCTTCTGTTAAATAATATAATTTTTTAATCATTATGGTATGAACCCTTCAGTAGCTTCTATTCAAAGGACTGACGATTTGGACGTGACCAAAAGTCATGGCCGTTTGTTGAAAATTTTTTTTTGCTGCCCTAGACGTTCGGCTCTACATAGAAAGCTCAGATATGGTGGGAGTACTTCTCAAGGTGTAAAGTTGCCTCCCTTTGTTAATCTGCCGCGCTTGAGTATATCCAAAAATCCTATTATCTTCTATCAAAGACGCTCTGTGGCGATTAGGTACATACTTTGTGGATGGTATAGTAAGTAATCTTTATTTCATTAATTTTAAATTTACATATTTCTAATGCATTATCATATAAATAATATAAGCTTTCTGCAATTTTACTCCACATAAATAATAAAAATAAAATATTATTAAATATGCTTCAAAAGGCGAAGTAGGTATGCATAAGAACTTTTCATATATTTCATATATACATACATATATGCGTTATCAATGTATATTTCCTGTTAATAGTTTTCTATCATCTCTCATAATAATTATTCTCTGTTTCTATTTATTCTTCATGCAATTCGTCAGTATTTTCTCACTTTATTTTAATTGCTTATTATTGTTATATTAATTTTATTGTTTTTATATAACCGAATTTAATTTTATGTTATTTTGAAGTAATGTATTATTTATTAATATTATTTGACATGATGGAATAAATTAGATTTAATTGATCATATTGACATTGTTCATTGAATTTATTAGCTTATGTTATTATAAAACTGTTCCAATTGTTAGGCGTGCATGATATATTTCGTTATTTATGCTTTTTAAATTTTAGATTGTAAGTAAAAAAAATGCATGCCAGAAATGGTAAATGTGCAGAACTTATCTGATATTACACCTTTATGTTTTTACCGCATTTGTACAAATGAATAAATGAATTATAAATTATGGAACTCCCTCTGCCTGTGCAGACAAGAGGCAAATTAATAAGGAGCGCCAATATGGCAAAGATAAATTTAAGTATTAATTAGTATTAGTGATACTACTTCACATTATTGGTAGTTGGTCCTATCTGTAACATTGTACGGAAATAAACTGCCAAATAAATAAATAAATTATAGAGCCCATAGCTTATAACTTACAACATTTTTTTATCTATACTAATACTACTTATAAAGCACTAAAGTAAATTCAAATTTATCTATACTAATCCTACTTATAAAGCAGAAGAGTTAGTTTGTTTGATTAAAAGCGCTAATTTTAATCCGATTTGAAAAAGTCTTTTTGAGTTGGATAGTGCATTTAGGCTTTAGGCTAATAAAATTACGCTAAGACTAGCAGGAGCGGAGCATTGATATTCCAATTGACGGTTTCCGTTGCGTGTGCTGGGTAAATGGTTAAAGTTTCACAAAAAACATGTATGACGGATATGTTTCCATTTACAGCTCTATAAAAAGTCCGCGCCAGCATATCTATAAACTTTTTCCTCAAATAAACGCGGATGAAACCGCAGGGGACCTCTCGTTTTGTTGTATACCAATTCCAATTATTTTTTCATGTATATTTGTAACTGTACTTTCGTATGCGTAAAATTTAAATGCGAATCTAAGCTAGCAGATACGTTAGTATTCCTGCCAACGGACTAGACTTCTATCCATTCGTCTTCTAAATATACATATGTGCTTTAAAGTTCTCTTGCTCTCAATCCCCCAAGAACAAATTAATATAATATTTTTGGAAAATTACGTCACTTTATTTAACATCAACAACTGACACTCCAGAGTACCTACCTAAATGTTTTATGTGACTCATCTATAAAATGGCAATTAATGAAAGAATCTGTTCTTAATTCTTCCTCGATCAAATGTTTATACATGCAAACGCTCTGCTCATTTCTAGATTCAAACAGTCAAGTGTATCGGCAACAATAAAATTATCTCGAGTCAGTAGAGTATTAAACTAGCCCGCTATAATTCTCTGACCGTACATTCCGCGGATTGTTTTATTGGATTATGCGGCGAGGCCGCGAAGCAGCTATAACTATTCACTGTCGTCTTTTGTGTTATGGAAAAACTTGTTCTTGAACCCATGTAGTGTGAAAGTGTCTTTTATTTGTGCAGTTTAATGTTACATATGTACACATATTATCGGGCGGCGGGCGAGGCGGAGTGTCATCTCATCGGCGCGCGCGCAAACGCGACGGTTCGCGTTGTTAGCGCGCACAATACGAACTGTGCCTGCGCCTCTCACCTTTGTTGGGAGTTTTGATTACGTGCGTGTTTATTTTTATGTCAATACATAATAATTGCAAGCATCTTGAGTCATAGAAGGGAGCTTGATAAAAATATTTTTAAATATTGCCTTTGTTCTCTTGAAACACTTAATATTTATACATTTAATAAAATAACTAGCTGTCCCAGCGAACTTCGTACCGCCATAAAAAATAGGGGTTGGTGGTAGAAGGGTGAAAATGTAGGGTTCTACGTATTTTTGTATGATGTATCATAAAAAAAATTATCTAAAATTAAAAAAAAAATAGGGGTGGATTACCCTTAACATTTAGGGGGATGAAAAAATAGATGTTGTCCGATTCTCAGACCTACCCAATATGCACACAAAATTTTAATGAGAATCGGGAAAGCCGTTTCGGAGGAGTTTAACCACAAACACCGCGACACGAGAACTTTATATATTAGATAAAAATTTAATTAATTAAAGGAAATAATTATGTCAAAGAATCAATCGAGGAATTTAAAATTTTATTGAACATAATTAAAATAGTTAAGTACTTATGTCCACTTAAAGAAATTTATACATAAAAATCTGCTTCCCAATTTCTGGTATCTTCATAAATGAGATTCTCCTTTCGATCAGGTTAATTTTCAAATATATACCTATTAATATCAGCCTTATAATTTGTTTGTCTTTAATTCTGGTTTGAGTGGGCCGTAGTGCATTTTTTTATAATTATCATTATTTGTTGTCGTATATAAATTACTATACGTCAAGTCCGCTCGCAACTTCATCTGCATGAAAAATTGGTTTTCCATAAAAACTTCGATTCCCATTTTCAGCTCCTTAAACGTGATTTCTAGGATAAAACTACCCTATGTCCTTTATCAGGACTCAAACTATCTCTATATCAAATTTTATTTAAATCGCTACAGTGGTTTAAGCCTGAAGAGGTAACCGATAGACAAACAGACAGACACACGTGCATTTATAATATTAGTATAATTTGATTTTCTTGCTTCGTAATTCTGAAAAAATCCTGCACTTTTATAGCTAAAAAAATAATTGAATAATTTTATTAAGATCTATTTGGAAATTTTATGTTAAAGGCGATCAACCAATCAATTT